AACCCAGGGCAAAACTGGAAGAGAGAAAGAGCACAATTTAACTTTCTTTATTCAGTCTTTTAAGCTTCCCTGGTAGCTCAGATGGTAAAGAGTCTGCCTGCAGTGAGGGAGCCCCGGGTTCGATCCCGGGATTGGGAAGATCCCCTGGAGAAGGAAAAGGCAACCCACTCCAGTATTCTTGTCTGGAAAAATCCCATGGATGGAGGAGCCTGGTCAGCTACAGTCCATGGGGTTGCAAAGAGTTGGACATGACTGACTCTTTCTTTCTTATTCAGTATTTTCCAATACTGGCTACAGATGAAAATCACTAGGAAGTTTTTAAAAATGCTGATATCTGGGTCATACCCAGAGAATGTTCTAGCTGGTGTGGGGTGGGACTGTCAGTGATTATAACATGAAGCCGGGGTTGAGAACCACTCCTCCAATTAATCTGCTCACTGCCACCAGCCTGGGACTGCCTCCTCCTTCCTCCCCACTCAAACTCCCAAACAGTTTTAAACAGCCTGCTGTCTTCTCCAAGCTGTTACTGCCTGGTGTCCATATTTCTCTCTGTTGTTTCTCCAGGTGAATTGGGGGAAGGAGGCAGAAGCCCTGGGTAATTTACCACAGTGGCAGGAATCAGAATTATCCCCGCCCCCGCTATTGTTGGTCTTCACCGGAGGTCTCAGCATGAAACAGCAGCGCTGGTGTGGCATGACCGCCAGAATGGGCTCCCTGTTGTCAGGGGTCTTCACCATCACTGCTGTGGACCTGTACCTCATCTTCGAGCAGAAGTACTTAAGGAGAAACAATTGCACTGAGCAAATGTCCCAGATCAAGAGTGCAAGTATCCTGATAAAACTGTTCATCATCTGCTGGAGCCTGACTATCGTCTTCTTCCTATCTTTCATCACCATCCTCATCAGCTGCTTGCTCCTTTACTCAGTGTACGCCCACATGTACAGGGGCCTGGTAATCTACATTGTTTGGATCTTTTTCTACGAAACTGTAAACATCGTGGTACAATGCCTTACCAATGACGACTCTTCCGGTGGAGAGGTCAGAGTCATGCGCTGGTTTGGTCTGGTGTCCCGGATATGCATGCACTGTTTCTGGATGTTCTTTGTCATCACTTACGCCTACATGATCTACAAAAATAAAAACCAGGGCAATATCATCTCCTACAACAGACGTGTTTCCAGCAGCAGTGGAGACTTCCCACGGCGGAAATCCAAGATACTCAACTTTTCCCGCCGCTACAGTGAGTAACATAGCCCTATTCCACGATGGCAGGTTCTCATGGTAGTTCATTTTCCATCTCATTCACTTTTCAACAAGTAGAGACTCCACTGCCACTCTTTTAGGGGAGATACTGCCACTGTTTTGGGGGAGATACGGTGAGAAAAGGGATTACCATCACAACTGGAACACCTTGCTCATAGACGATGTTTAATTAGAAGACATTGTTATTTATCAAGCTCTCCTTGACTTCCTCTTTCCTTTTCTTGTCAGTACCACCTTATTGATCAAAATGAAGAGAGGCAGGGATGAAATGAAGCTGAATTGCAGTCTGGCAATCCTTTGATCTTGCTGTGTCTTCATCGGCCTTCAATCCACAGCTCTCTGACGTAACCCTACAGGCAAACCTGTATTTATATCTCAGATTGTTGTAGCAAAAAATATATTGTTGGGGTCTTGAGGTGGTTTTTTGCTGTTTTTCTCTCCCTGTGTCATCTATACTATATTCCAGATAAGTAAAAGAATAAAAATAGAGCCAAATCATACTTCATTTTCTGTCTTGACCCCTCCATCCCCTCCCCCAATAAAAACTGTCAAGGAGCACAAATGCACTTGTGATTAATCAAAAAGCTATTTGTTAAACTCTTCTGTCTGTCACTGTGCAGGACACACTGTGTCTATCTCCACTGCAGGAGGATTCAAAAAAGTATAAGATATAATTCCTGACCTTGAGGATTTTGCAGTTTAGTGGGAGAGATTAAATCATGTTTATGTTTATGAATTGATTAGCCAACCACAGAAGATGGTACAAGATTACACATTATCACATATCAACAAACTTCACTTTGAGTTCATGGGTCAGGAAATGTCAGAAGCAGTTTAAGAAGCCAGGATGGAAGACACAGGGAGGAAACCTCTACTTCAAACATTATAGACATTATGTTAGAGGTTTACTAATAGCTTTCTCGAGGTATAATTGATATGCAATATATAGCACAGGCTTCCCTGGTGGCTTAGATGGTAAAGAATCGCCAGCAATGCAGGAGACCTGGGTTCAATCCCTGGTTTAGGAAGATCCCCTGAAGAAGGAAGTGGCAACCCACTCCAGTATTCTTGCCTGGAGAATCCCCATGGACAGAGGAGCCTGGCGGGCCGCAGTCCACGGGGTCGCAAAGAGTCGGACTAAGCCACAACCACAACAAATACGTGTTTAAAGAATACAATTTAATAAGTTTTGGCATAAGTATATCCCAGTGAAACCATCACCATAATTGAACACATGAACATGTGTATCACCCCCAAAAGTTTCCTCTTTATCCCTATCTCCTGCCACTTCCTGCACTACCATCCCCTACCCTGCCACCACAAAGCACTGATTTGCTGATTTTCTCTATATGTTAGTTTGTATTTTCTAGAACTTTACATAAATGGAATCATAGAGTATATAATCTTTTTTGCCTGACTTCTTTTGCTCAGCCTAAGCCCTTGAAGATTCATTCATGTCATTATGTGTATTGCTACTTCATTATTTTTTTTTAATACTTATTTATTTGGCTGCCCTGAGTCTTGGTTGTGGCATGTGGGATCTTTAATTATGGCATGTGAACTCTTAGATGCTGCATATGGGATCTAATTCCCTGACCAGGGATGAAACGCAGGCCCCCTGCATTGGGAGCTTGGAGTCTTAGCCACTGAACCAGTGGAGAAGTCCCTATAGCTCTTTCTTTATTGCTGAGTAGTATGCCATGGCAAGAATGTACCGCAGTTAATCCATTTGGTCACTGAAGGACATTGAATGGTTTGTAGTTTGGGGCAATTATGAATAAGAATGCTACAAATATTTGTGTATAAAACTTTGTGTGGACTTAAAATTTCATTCATCTTGAGTAAAGGTAGTGCTAGTGGTAAAGAACCCTCTGGCAATGCAGGAGATATTAGAGACAGGCTTCAATTCCTGGGTCCAGAAGATCCCCTGGAGGAGGGCATGGCAATCCTCTCCAGTATTCTTGCCTGGAGAGTCCCATGGACAGAGGAGCCTGGCAGGTTACAGTCCATAGGGTAGCAAAGAGTCAGATATGACTGAAGCAACTTCAGTTCAGTCACTCAGTTGAGTCTGACTCTTTGCGACCCCATGGACTGCAACACTCCAGGCCTTCCTGTTCATCACCAATCTTCTGGAGTTTACTCAAACTCGTCCATTGAGTTGGTGATGCCATTCAACCATCTCATCCTCTGTTGTCCCTTTCTCCCACCTTCAATCTTTCCCAGCATCAGTGTCTTTTCAGATGAGTCAGTTCTTCACATCAGGTGGCTGAAGTATTAGAGTTTCAGCTTCAGCATCAGTCCTTCCAATGAGCACTCATGACTGATCTCCTTTAGGATGGACTGGTTGGATCTCCTTGCAGTCCAAGGGACTCTCAAGAGCCTTCTCCAACACCACAGTTCAAAAGCATCAATTCT